ACTGTGGAAAAGAATGCCATTCAGTGTTTTATTATTGGTCTAATGAATTTATGATTTTACTGACTAGTTAGGAAGTATTATGTCTGCTCTTTTACCAGTTGAATGAGTTGCATCTGCTGCTTGCCGATCATTCTAGCTATCCCCTTAATTGAAATGGCTTCTCAGTCTTTACTTTGATATAAATTTTCACGTGATTTCTGTGAAAGATAACTTACCGTTACACCCTCTTATCTCATACATTGGTTTGACTGTCATTGTAGGGCCAAATATGGCATTGAGGAGATGTGCCGAGATCAATGGAACTGGGCCAGCAAGAACCCTTATGGCTATGGATCCCCCGACTCGACTGACTGATAGCCGAGGATTTTGGGCATCCTCCGATTAGGTATTGCTGAATTTAGACGTCGGTGTAGAAAAAGGTCACCACTTTCTGAGACTTAGAACGGAGACAAACTTAGGCTAGAAAAAGAAGGCGGCGAATATACTCGGAATAAGCCTTTAAGATTAGTCAATTGCTCTAGCTTCTGGTTAACCTATTAAATGTCCTGTTGGTGACCTGATGTATAATTCCAGATACGACGTGCAATAAGAAATCTTCTAATGATTATGCTAGTAAGGAAAATCTCCTCCATCATGTGTTCATTGCGATCAACTGGCCGACGTGCATTTGTTAACTGCTTTTTGTCATCCCGGACAATGCTTTTTACGATGCCGAGTGATGTTGCGTGATGACTAGGAGGGCAGTTTTCCCTCTTTTCGGGGGCCACTTTATCTCCGTCAAAAGCTAAACTTTATTAAATTCCAAAGTACAAACCAAAATGAACTCCTCTTGCACATAAAAACAAGAAAAAGACGAACTATCCATGGGACAACTCCATTGCTCCCTCACTCACACTTTTGTCACGGGTTTTTTTTAGGGAAAATTGTCCAAAAAGTTTTAAATCTATTGCACTTTTGTCAATTCAGTCCTAAACCTTTTAACTTTGCCAATTGAGTCATAAACCTTTTCATTTTTTGTCAATTGAGTTCATCCAGCCAGTTTTAATTGGAAATCGTTGATGTCGACGTCGGGCTGCCACGTGGCACTGACATTGACATTTTTATATAATATTTTAATAATTTCTAAACCTCTTATGTTTTTTTTTCTTTTCTATGTTTTTTTTCTGGGTTTTAAAGTTAGGTTCGGCGAAGGTGGCCGGCCTACCTTCGTCGGCCCTTGCTCGTGGCCAGCAAGGGCCGGCAAGCCACCCTTGTCTGCCCTAGCTTCAAATCCAGAAAAAAAAAAAAACAGAGAAAAGGAAAAAAAAAAAAAAGAAGAAAAAAAACATAAAAAATTAAAATATTATTAAAATATTATATAAAAATGTCCACGTCAGCGCCACGCGGCTGCCTGGCGTCCACATCAGTGATTTCCGGCCAAAATTGGCCGGACGGATTCAATTGGCAAGAAATGAAAAGTTTATAACTCAATTGGCAAAATAAAAAGGTTTTGAACTGAATTGGCAAAAGTGCAATAGTTTTGGGATTTTTTGGACAATTTTCCTAGTATTTCCACCCTACAAGAATCAAGGCGTGCGGGGAAAAAAATTATCCCCTTTTTTTGTTTTTTTTATGAAAAATAAGGGAAGTTGTAACGTGTCTTTCTCATTGTTGAAACTTCTATTTAAGGCGCCAAAGAAGCGTCAACGGCCAATCGAGCAAACTATCCCCATAGCTCCATCAGGTGTGAGCAGGGAAACAAGAGAGCCAGCATACATTTAAGCCCAAGTCTATCATTTGTACTCGTAGATTAATCAAGGTCTCTGAGATTGAGAATAAAATAAAAATAAAACCTGTGACTTTTCGACTTGTCAGAAAAGTTCAATTTGAGTCAACTAATGTTTTGGGCCAAGCTAGCTTTCAGGGTAAAATTGAGGAAAGCCCATGGCCCAGAAAGCTTAACTCATTTTGTGGGCCCATCAAGACTTATCTGAACTTGGAATAGTTTGATGAGTCTATTATTTTCTCATAGAAAATGAAGAAAGAGTCACAAAACTGGGTTGGGTTTGAGTAAACTGTAAACTCATAATATATATATATATATATATAACAATCTAAACCTATTTACTAAGCATAGCTAACCATATAATGACTCGATCTATCAAATATGGGTTTATAAATGGATCTATGACCCATTTGATGTAGTCAAAACGAGTCGCAAACCCATATTCTAACCCAAATTTATTTAATGGGTCACCTCAAACTCAAAATATGGGTATTAATGATTTTTAAAGTTAAAAGCCCAAAACATATGAGTTTTAGTAGGTTGATTATAAACTCACTTTCAACATATTTAATAAATAGATTAGTATTAGCCCATTTTGGTCCCTCTTTGCCAATCTCTTCTTTCTCCCTCTTAAATTTCGTGACGCTCGACTTTCTCCGTTCTTTCGCTCTACTTCTGCTATCCTTAAGTATTCTTCAACCTCTAACTCGCAACTTCACACTACTGTGACAAATTTCACTTATGAGGAAACCCAAACTTTCGCAGCCACCTTCATGCCTTCGTCCATAACTCGACCCCTAAGCTTCCTCACTAACTTTATGAGTTGGTAGAGAGAAGAAGCTCATTCTTCAAATGCAACACTTTAAAGAGAAAAATTGCTAAAGTTGGATTCCGAGTCTGGTATGGGTTGAATATGAATCACTAAATTTGCATTAGATATAAAATTGATCAAAACGGGTTAAATAGATCATACAATTTTCGACCCGATCGAAAGTCAATCCTACCCATCCATTTGATGGGTTTAGTCAAAATCAATGATTCACCACCTCTAGAAAGAAGCGAGAGTTGGTGACCTGATTGCTAGAAGAAGAAGACGAGCGAGTATCTTTGCGTTCTTGTTAGGGCTGAGCATGGGTCTAGGATAAAGTTGGGAACCGGACCGAATCGACCATAAGAACTGGTCCCACTCCAGGTTCCCTATTTACCGGTTCCAAAAAAAGTAAAACCAGGATTATGCGGTGTGGTTCCCAGTTCTTGAGTAAGAACCGAATCGGGAATTGGGAACCGAAGAACCAAGGATTATCATTACAGGAGTTCTATTTGAGTTCAAAGATAGATTTTGTTTGAACTTATTGGCTCGTAACGGCATTGACTTAGATACATAATCAAGGTTTTGAAAATTGACTTTTAGAGTGAACTGATTGTGGAGACTTTCTTAACGTAAAACCCGTAGTCATCATATACTCTTCCATGGTTCCACATTATTTGTATACTTACGCTTGCCTGAAGCACTTCTTTTTCTTGTTCATGTGTCTGCCTCTTTCAGAAGATTTGGAACTAGCCAACTTTGTGGAAAAGACTCCTGAATAAATGCGGTGAGATTTTCTAAAAATTATCTCAGCTTAATTAATAGTAATTTTAATTTAAAAATATTATTAAGCGAGTAACTACGTTTGTTGCTTCTTTTGATTTCAAGTGGTAAGAATTCGGAGCAAATCTTCATGGATGGTTGATGACTAAAACCCTATAGTTCAGGTTTTATATTATGTATTTTATGTTTTATCTTTTACGGATTGTTGCTATTGATAAATGTGGACTTTTGTTATCACCTTCATTTTCATTTTGCTCGACTTAAAATGAAACAAAAAAAATAAAGAAAATATGAAACAAAAAAGAAGAAGAAGAAACTGAGGTAGACCTCGTAACTAAACTTGGAATCATTGTAAGTGAACCTGGAATCGATTAACAGGATAGGTTCCAAATTCCACTTATACAGATAGATTTCATATTATAAAAATCAAAAAACTAATTCCGACATAATAAGTTTTAGGGCGCATAGAATCCATTCTGGGATCGAAATCCTAGGACCGCGAACAATGCGTTTGTTAAAAAATTTCTGGAATGCATTCCGGAGCAATTTTTGCATTATGGAATAAAAATGCATTTGTTAAAAATACTTGATTCTAGAATGCATTCTTGATTCCAGAATGAGTTTTGGGCAAGAAAAAGAGAAATTACTTTTTGTAGCTTCTCTCTTCCAAAATGCATTCTCTCTCTTTTCTTTCTTTTTCGCGGTCTTTATAACACATTTTGAGATCTCACTAATTTTTTTTTTCAGAAAATGCATAAAAATTGAAAAATTCCAGAAAAATTCATAAAAATTTCTAGAAAAAAAAAAAAGTCAAATTTCGGGAAAATAGGAAATTTGGTGAATCATTTTCAAAAAATATAAAAAAATCAAAAATTTCAAAACTTCACAAAATGGCTTAGAACACATGTAGTTACCCTTGAGTGAAATTTAAATTTTTTTAGGTGTCCAAAAAAATCAAAAATTTCAAAACTTCACAAAATGACTTAGAATACTTGTGGCCACCCACTTTGAGTGAAATTTAAATTTTTTGAGGTGCCCAAAAAAAATCAAAAATTTCAAAACTTCACAGAATGGATTAAGAATACATGTGGCCACCCATTTTTTAGTGAAATTTAATTTTTTTGAGGTGCAAAAAAAAATCAAAAATTTTAAAACTTCACAAAATGGCTTAGAATACCTTTGGCCACCCACTTTGAGTGAAATTTAAATATTTTGAGGTGCCCAAAAAAAATTAAAAAATAAAAAATTTTAAAATTTCACAGAATGGCTTAGAATACCTGTGACCATCCACTTTGAGTAAAATTTAAATTTTTTTAGGTGCAAACAAAATCAACAAATCAAAACAGATTTCAATTTCAAAAATTAATTTTTGGAGCATAATTAATCATGTTTTATCAAACAGATTTCCCCTTCAGAAATTAATTTTTGGAGCAGAATAATTACCATTCGTGCCTTAGTTACCACGTGAAAGCTGGATCGATCCTAGCACCGCCACCCCCTGATTCCCGCCGCCACCAGTTCGAGCCGAGACAAAAGAAGCCACACTTCACGTGGCTATTCCATCGTCCGCTCCCGCTCTCTCTAATGAAAAAACCGCCATCTCCTTTTTCTTCAGTTTTCGCTCCTCAAGTCCTCCCTCTCCTCCACTGTTTTAACTCCACGTGCACACCAAAGTCGACCCTTCTCCTCCCATCTCTCTCTCTCTCTCTCTCTCTCTCTCTCTACACGCACGCACGCGCATGGCGAAGAACGTGCTGGTGACCGGCGGCGCCGGCTACATGGGCAGCCACACCGTGCTCCAGCTCCTGCTCGGCGGGTTCCGGGTCGCCGCCGTCGACATCCTCGACAACTCCTCCCGGACCGCCCTCGACCGGGTCCAGGAGCTCGCCGGCGAGCACGGCCCCAGCCTCTCCTTCCACGAGGTTCGAAACGATCGCCGCCGTCGCCGCCGCCTTCCCCTTTCTTTTATTTTTTTTGTGCTTCCGAGATGGTATCGGCGATCTAGGACTCGGTCGCTGGGTTGTGTTTGTCGCGGGACGTTGGCGGCGGGGGGGATGTCGGGCGGTTTTAAATCTGGGAAAGCGTGGAGTATGCTTCGTCATGTCGTGTTTTCCGGTCGTTCGTTGCGATGTTGTGAGACTTTTTGAATTTGGCGGTTCAGTATTATGCGACGTGCGATTGTGAGTGCGACTGGTGTTAGGACGCCCTGCTGCGAGATCCCGTGTCATTTGATCGTTAATTATGCTGGGGAACTCGTTGTTGATGTGCTTTCGAGCGAACGATGGTTGTTGTATTTATGGTAGCAATTGACTCTCTTTGACTTTGTTGTCTGCTCTTCATCCGCAGCTTGACCTCCGAGACAAACCGGCGCTGGAGAAATTGTTCTCCTCGACAAAGTACGATCCTTACATAACATTGCGATTATTTGTCATTTGGTTCCATTTTCAGAACCTCCATTCGATGTGCGTAGTATGTGGTTTTATCGGTCCCTTAGAATTTGATACAGGCCAATCTTCAAATTTGGATCTTCGATTACGACTATATCAATTGATTCGTAGATATATGAAATAATAGAGAACTGGAAAGGCGACTTCTTTGTTCTTCCTTAATGTTGCTTGTTTTGACTGTCAGCTCCTATTATGTCCAGATTTGATGCTGTCATACACTTGGCTGGATTAAAAGCAGTAGGTCAAAGTGTGCAGAAGCCATTGCTTTATTTCAATAATAACCTCATCGGGACCATCACCTTGCTAGAAGTCATGGCTGCCCATGGATGTAAGAAGGTATGGTACTTTGATTATCGTAACTGTGCATCATTTCGTTGTTTTTTTTTTCCTGTTTAGTTGTGTGCCTCATCTTATATCAGGGTTAATGAAATCTGGTTGTTGGACTATTGTAACTATGAATGAAACCTTTAAAAGGGAATTCATGTTAATGGACAAACTGAAGTGGCTGCCGTCTATCATGTTTGATATGCTAGACTAGTAGATCTCTGCAATTGATACATTGGTGTGCTGACTGCTGTGTGGAGTGAAGTGCAACTAAATTAGGTGTTGTTTTCATGTGTGGTCCTCACTTAATCTGCTCCTTTGGTGCATGTTTCATTCGCTCTCTTCTTTTTCTTTCTGTCTTTCCTGCATCCCTGCACACTCAGAAGTACGTGATCTGTGAGTTTAGAGATGCACACTTGTGTGATCTCTCACTTTAATTAACCAAAATGTGATTTTCGTGAAACATTGCAGCTTGTGTTTTCCTCGTCTGCTACTGTTTATGGTCGGCCAAAGGAGGTCCCTTGTACAGAGGAGTTCCCTGTTTGTGCAGTGAATCCATATGGACAAACCAAGGTTAGTGAAAGATATTCTTTCATCTTAATAGTACTATCATGCAACGGGACACTAACCAAAAGACAGATGAATTAGCTGGTTAGTAAGGCTTTTTAGTGGTTTATTGCACTGTTGGTGAAGAAATTAAACATGCTTTTGAGTTTAACATTGTAAATATTCTAGAATCTTCAAGAGAGAGGGAGAGAGAAAACACTCAAAGGCTAGATCCTTACTAAATGACTTGATAAAAGAGTACATAGATGACTCCATTTAGAATCCATAAGAGACCCCCAAGAATCCTAATTACCTTCTTGATGACCACCTACTAACTATTGAGTAAGATTTTTATCATTCCCGGCTTACATCTGATAGGTGCAACTTTCGTCCAAAGTTTCAAAGCGCCGTGTAAGCCGACCCTTGCACTAGACAATCGATATAAATATCAAAGTCTATTTAAGATGACGACAATTGTGCAAGCTACACCTTACATGACAAACTGAATGTAACCCATATCAACTCTGGATTTGACAAAAGTGTAAAGAGACAAATCAAGATTGGAAAGTTGATACCATTCTTTTCCTCGAATTGCAAATATATAATCATGCAAGAACCAACTTCGTGAATTGTGGCAAACTGAATTGCATCACCTTACAACGCTCGACTTTGATCACTCGATGAAGGTGTGATGGACTCCGGCGCTCACAGCAACCTAAAATCTTGATGGCGATTCCACTTGTTAATGACACTCACAATCGAAGATGAGTCTCACAATGGATACCTTCCATAGTAGGCTTGTTGAGATTTCGGAGGACCAAAAATTTATGAAGTTTCTGAAGATAAAGTGTTGTAGATTGGAGCACTAACAGCCCCCAGAAAGCACTTTTTTTGTTATGTTTTTCTTCTTTGGGAATGCAAAAGTATAGAAAACAAGTGAAAAAGAAATGCAAGACTAACAGCATCAAACGAACGAGAACTGTAGCTTTATTTTGACGGAGAAGCGGAACCAGTGACCACAATCGAGAAGGATGCATGGCGGAATGAATCCAGAGAACAGAGTGGCTCAACTTGTGGAAGACTTCACAAGCACAAGGATGCCGGCGACAATATTGATGAGGCCAACCATAACTCTCCCTAACGACAACGGAGAGACGAGTGACTCACGAGGTAGCGCTGCTCTTCAAGATTACCTAGCAGATCTGTCACCATGACAAGCAAAGGACGATGATGCTGCTCTTGAAGACGAACTGTTGTGGCTGCTCTCCAGTATGAAAACCAGAGGACGAAAAACAAAGGACTTGGAATGGTTGACGCTGGAGGTCTTAGTGTCAAAGTAGAAACCATTAAGTAGAATCGAGGGTTCTTTTTTCTTCAGACTGATGGCAAGAAGAAAGATAAAGTCAGAGTGTTGATTCGGGCCTTTCTTTCTTGATGACTCTGATACTATATAGATATTCTAGGATCTTTAAGAGAGGGGAGAGAAGATACTCAAAGGCTAAATTTTTACTTAGTGACTTGATAAAAAAATACATAGATTGCTCTATTTATAGAGCATGAAAGACACCCAAAAACCCTAGTTATCTCATTGATGACCACCTACTAACTACTAACTGATATTCGGAAATATACTATAACAAGCATGAAGGCAAGGATGTATATTGTGTCCCTTACAAACATGAGAAAAAAAGAAGGATGGTTTCTTTCCTCCTATTATGCTACTTCCCTTTTTAGTACTAGTGGGGAATTATTCCAAATTGTTTTTGGTTTCCTGATTTCTGCTACATCTTATACAAGCGCAATTGCCTGTTCTTCCAGCTTTTCATTGAAGAAATATGCCGTGATGTTTATCGGGCAGATTCTGAATGGAAGATAATGTTGTTAAGATACTTCAATCCAGTTGGTGCACATCCTAGCGGCTACATTGGCGAGGATCCCAGGGGGATCCCGAACAATCTAATGCCATTTGTGCAGCAAGTTGCTGTCGGAAGGCGACCTGCTTTGACAGTTTATGGAACAGACTATTCAACGAAGGATGGTACTGGGGTATGGTATTTGCACGTTCTTCATTACTTTGATGCAGTCTTTTGACACCATTATTTTGTCCCTCGAGTTAATATGACTTATGAGGTCTATAATGAGTTGTATATCTTGTTCATGCACCTCATTAATGATAGGAGTCAATCTCATTTATATATGTAAACAGACCTACACAACTGATCTTTGCTGTGCTCAAGTTGTCGATGCAGAGTCTTCCTGATTTAATTGTTTATTGTTCTTTGAGTTTGCTCATGTCATCTACAGAAAGTAGCAAGCAAATATTTTATGCTTGATGCATCATCTGTTCTACATTCTGAACCCAAGTCTGTGTGTGTCATCTCAGGTTCGTGATTACATCCATGTTGTTGATCTAGCCGATGGACACATTGCTGCATTGCAAAAGCTTGAAGAACCCGGCATAGGTATGAGAACTCGTACATTTTTTTAATTTGAACTGCTGCTTCTATTCAGTAGCTGGTCGGTCGAATTTTATTGTGATGTGCCTGCATGGTTGTGACCATTCTTTGTCACCTCCACAAATAGGGCATTACTTAATGCCCGCCCCTCCATGCATAAGACAAATGTATGATGTGATTTGCATGCATTTTATTTGAATATGAAGTCTTTTCTCAACCAGAACATTTCATGTAAGGGCCCTAAGCAGGAGGTTGTAAGAATGTTTCGCCGCGCAATCTACCCACATGTCAATTTAATTGTTTTAAGATTCTGGGCTTTGACTTGAGAAGTCAATTCATTAATCTCTTCTCCTGGTCATATTTGGTTGTCAGCGTGTGAGGTGTATAATCTGGGAACGGGGAAGGGAATTTCAGTCTTGGAGATGGTTGATGCATTTGAGAAGGCATCTGGAAAGGTATGTTTCAGTTGGTCGGGATGATGCACCAGAATACATACAGAATTTTATGTGTTTATGTCGTCATATTTGATAACACTCTCAATCATCTGATCTGATTGTGAGCCTGATCCCTTCTCGGTGTCCACTTTCATCATGTATTCCTTGTTCCGAAATTCCTTTTGAGATGACTTAATTTCTCCATTGAATGTTTTCTCCTGTTCCAGAAAATTCCACTTGTTATGGCTGGGCACCGACCAGGCGATGCTGAAGTTGTATATGCATCAACAGAAAAGGCTGAACGCGAATTGAACTGGAAGTAAGTATCGGGCCATGCAATTGCTGCATGAAGAAATTTGTGAGTTAATATTGCTATGCATAGCTTATTGGTTAGTGTTACCAATGTCGACCTCTGCTTGTGAATACCATAATCAAGAGGAGCTACAAAGAGTAACACCTAATGGGCTGGCTTGGATTGTGTGCTTTGTGCCTCTAAGCCTGAATGTGAAAGAGAATGCCATCCGGGGGATTGCTGTTCGTTTGATGAATGTTGTGGGTGATCTATGATTTTACTGACTATTTAGGAAGTATTATGTCTGCTCTAGTGCCGGTTGAATGAGTTGCATCTGCTGCTTGCCTGTCATTCTAGCTATCCTGTTAATTGAAATGGCTTCTCAATCTTTACTTTGAGATAAATTTTTCAACGTCTTTGGAAGAAAAAGTCTCTGGACTGTGAAAAACAAAGCCCAGCAATTAGATCTCTGTGAAAAGATAACTTACTGTCACATCCTCTATCTCATGCATTGGTTTGACTGTCATTGTAGGGCCAAATATGGCGTTGAGGAGATGTGCCGAGATCAATGGAACTGGGCCAGCAAGAACCCTTATGGCTATGGGTCCCCCGACTCGACTGACTAATAGCCGAGGATTTTGGGCGTCCTCGTATTAGGTATTGCTGAATTTAGTCGTCGGTATAAAATGGTCGCCAATTTTTTTTTTGGGGGTGGTCAAAAAATGGTCACCAATTACTGAGTCTTAAAACGGAGAAAAAATTAGGCTAGGGAAAAAAAAGAAGGTGAAAATACTCAAGCTTCTCCTCAACCTATTATCTCCTGTTGGGGACTTGATGTAATATTTCCAGATACGACATGCAATAAGAAATCTTCGATTGATTATGCTACAGGAGAAAATCTCCTCTATCATGTATTCACCGTGATCAACTAGCCGACATGCATTTACTAACAGCTATGTCATCGGGACGTGCATTTTACGATGCCAAGTGATGTTGCGTGATGACTAAGAGGATGACGTTGATGGGTGTTGCATATACTACCCCGTAAGGCAACGTGCATTTTACGACATGCATTTACTAACAGCTATGTCATCGGGACGTGCATTTTACGATGCCAAGTGATGTTGCGTGATGACTAAGAGGATGACGTTGATGGGTGTTGCATATACTACCCCGTAAGGCGACGGCAATAGCAACAGCTGAAATCTTTCGCCTTGATTATAATGATAAAACAAAGAGATGTCCGCATCGTCCCAAATGATCAGAATCGGCCGGGGATAAGATGTCGAATGCTAGGAATGTAGGATGACTCTGGCTTTTATCATCTTGGCCGGGGATAAGTTGTCGACCTTTGCTGCGAATGCGAACCCTCTCTTGTCACGTAGGAATTTGTACCTTATGATTCGGCGATGTCGAAAAGGAAAAAAAAGATCGTTGCAATCACGGAATGGGGCGTTGCTTTCACATCGGAATTGCCGGACGATTGATCGCCGATGATGTCTTGTTCCTTAAAGCATAAAGGGATTTGCTTGAAGGGGCCTGCAGCACTCCACTGACTTTTCCTACTTCCTACACTTGGAGATGCACAAGAGCTCGAAGGAATGCCCCCCATCTACATGAAGAAAATGACACAAATGGTTTTGCAATTTAGACCAAATATATAATATGGTTGCCGAACTCTTAAATTAGTCAATGTGGTTTCTGAATTTTATCCTAATGTGCAATGTAGTCATTGAATTTTTAATTTGTTCAATATGATCCCCGAACTTAATCCAATGTACAATATGGTCCTTGAACTTTAAATTTGTTCGATGTCATTCCTGAACTTTTGGTACATGTTCAATTTAATCCATTTCCGACAAAAAAAAATTAGTCCATGGATTATATGAAAATGTTCAATATAATTTTTACATTAATTCAAGTCCAGAAACTACATTGAACATGTTCATATAATTCAAGGACTACATTGAACATGTATCAAAAATCCGGAGACTATAATGAGCAAATTAAACATTTTGGGACCACATCGAATAATATTAGGCCATAATTCAAGGACTACACTGAACAAATTAAAAGTTCAAGGACCATATTGCATTTTAAACGGCCTAATTCCAAAAAAAACCCCAAACTTTACACTTTGTCCCAATTATACCCTGAACTTTTTTTTGTCTCAAGAAAAACCTCAAACTTTTCTCTCGGAGTCCCAAATCTACCCTACCGTTATAACTCCTGTCCAATTAACGTCGGAAAAAAAAAAAAAAAAAAGGATGACGTTGATGGGTGTTGCATATACTACCCCGTAAGGCGACGGCAATAGCAACGGCTGAAATCTTTCGCCTTGATTATAATGATAAAACAAGAGATGTCCGCATCGTCCCAAATGGTCAGAATCGGCCGGGGATAAGATGTCGAATGCTAGGAATGTAGGATGACTCTGGCTTTTATCATCTTGGCCGGGGATAACACGTCGACCTTTGCTGCGAATGCGATCCCTCTCTTGTCACGTAGGAATTTGTACCTTATGATTCGGCGATGTCGAAAAGGTAAAAAAAGAACGTTGCAATCACGGAGTGGGCGTGGCTTTCACATCGGAATTGCCGGACGATTGATCGCCGATGATGTCTTGTTCCTTAAAGCATAAAGGGATTTGCTTGAAGGGGCCTGCAGCACTCCACTGACTTTTCCTACTTCCTACACTTGGAGATGCACAAGAGCTCGAAGGAATGCCCCCCCCATCTACATGAAGAAAATGACACAAATGGTTTTGCAATTTAGACCAAATATATAATATGGTTGCCGAACTCTTAAATTAGTCAATGTGGTTTTGAATTTTATCCTAATGCAAATGTAGTCATTGAATTTTTAATTTGTTCAATATGATCCCCGAACTTAATCCAATGTAACAATATTCCTCAACTTTAAATTTGTTCGATGTCATTCTCTGAACTTTTGGTACATGTTCAATTTAATCCATTCTGACAAAAAAATTAGTCCATGGATTATATGAAAATGTTCAATATAATTTTACATTAATTCAAGTCCGTAAACTACATTGAACATGTTCATATAATTCAAAACTTCACATCAACACGTATCAAAAATCCTAGAGACTATACCGAGCAAATTAAACATTTTGGACCACATCGAATAATATTAGGCCATAATTCAAGGACTCTGTGACACCGAACAAATTAAAAGTTCAAGACCATATTGCATATTAAACTAAAGTTGATAAACTGTTTGTGTCATTATCCCGTAAATCAAACAAAGTTAAGGCCGAGAAAGATCTTCAAAGTTTTTTCCAGTGATCTCCATGAGACCATATTTTCGGAGAAATCACTGATTGACGAATGACCCCTCCACTTGGCCTATGCCTGTGTGGCTGTCTCTGAAGTCCTGACGTCTAATTTTGAATTTTGAATTTTGAATTCGATGCGTTCGAACACGGCAACGGCAACGGCTCTCTCCTGATTGGAGGACGAAGAAGAAAAGGTGGAAGCGAAAGACAACAACAGTGCGGTCCTCCTCGCCCATGATCATTCCCCACAGGACTTCCAAATTTTTCTTCCTCCCCCTCTTGTCTTTCTGTCTACTCTTAACCCACAGATTCCGGATCGTTCGTGCCGTTGGGGCTGATGAGACGCATGGATTTTGACTAATGAGCAAGCCAAATGGTGGATTCATCGGATTTTCCTTCGCGATCGCATGCCAATCCTAACAGCAAAACATGAAGTTTGAGTCGCGCGTTAAAGATATTCGCCGTTCGTGTCGATCTTTAGTAGCCCTCTTTTTTTTCTTTTTTTTTTGGGAAATTCGCGTCAAATGATATAGAAATCATACATCGTACTTACCACATCGAACCCTTAATTTCGATAGATATTACTTAATGATAAAAGAAATTGATTATCTTGAAGTTTTTTTTAAAAAGCAAAGGCATGGGTGCATAAAGCGAGCTAAGCATGCAGGTACATTGCGTGAAAAGCCAACCTTTTCGTGACGCATTCGATTCCTCAAATGAAGGGCTACTTTGATCGAAGAACAAGCGGTGCTGTACATTCGTTTCACCTTTTCTTAACAAAACAAGATGTTGATAGAAGAATAGTGAAGAAAGACCCTCCAACCTCCCTTCTCAAAAAATGCACCGCTTATGTTAAATCGAAAGCGACTTCTCAAGGTTCTTAAATCTTTCAGGATGTGTGAAATCTCGTCGGATTTCGCTTCACATACAACCGCGAAGTGGGATCCAAATAGAACCGGCCGATACGAGTCTCTAGTCTAATCTCCCGAGAGCTACTGTGGCGTTTCTTTTGGAAAATGTCGAAATGATACTCAGGTCCTCTGTTCTTTAGCCGTTGTTTAATATTGTCACAGCATTTTTTTTTGTTTAATTAAGTCTTGGAATCACGTTTTGCTTTTTTTTTTTTTTTTTTTTCTTTTTGAGAAAATTTCATTTTATCCCCTCTCTACTCTGAGTTGATGATGCACCTCGAACCCCGAATTATAAAAGAATTGCATTTTCACCTCCCTAAACTCGCATTTTCTTATCCTTCTCAACACTGCTAACAAGTACACTTTTCCGATCGAATTACCGAAACCACCATCTTCTATATTTATCGTCGACTTGGCCATCGACAAGCATGCTCTGCCCTCTCTTTCTTCGAATCTAACAAGACGGCGAAACCATCTCTATTCAACCCTCTTTGTGCGCGCTCGCTCGTGATCTCCAATCTTTCGATGCCCATCAAATTTCTGTAATCGAGTTCGAACTCGTGCGGGACATCGGCATTCTCACCTGTTTAAACAGAACGGTTAAATTGAAAAAAAAAGAAGGGAAAATTTCAAATAAGAACCCGAAGTGCTCTCATTTTCTCAAATAAGGGCTTGAAGTGGACTTTGTGTCAAATAAGGATCTGAAGCGAACTTATATTTTCAAATAAGGATATGAAGTGGTTATAATAGTTTCAAATAGAGGCCTCACCCAGCCGACTCGCCGATCGGCCAAATTTTCCGTCCGATCAAGGGCATTTTCGTCCAAAATTTTTTTTAACATAAATTTTAGTTAAATTAGTTTAAAATAAAAAAGAAAAAAGAAAAACAAGGGGCAGGGCTGGCCCTCGCCAGAGCCGGGAGAGGGCTCCCAGATCTGGGCGAGGGTCGCCGCCCTCGCCCAGGTTTGGCGAGGGCCAGTAGCCCTCACCTCTGGCCGGCGACCCCGCCGGCCATCGCCGCCGCCCCACCACGACGGGGTGGCGGCCATAGGTGGGGGGTGGCCTCCCCTTGTTTTTTTTTTTTTTTTAAACTTTAGCTTTTTTTTTCATTTTTTAGTTTATTTTTTTATGGAAAAAAATTGAAAAAGGAAAAAAAATCAAAAAAAATAAAAGACGAAAATGCCCTTGACTCCGATGAGGCGAGGCCCTTTTTTTAGACTGAGATGGCCACTTCAGGCCCTTATTTGAGACAAAGTTCACTTCAGGCCCTTATTTGAGAAAATGAGGGCATTTCAGGTTCTTACTTGACACATGGTTCACTTCAGGCCTCTATTTGAGAAAATGACAGCACTTCGGGTCTTTATTTGAAATTTTCCCAAAAAAAGAAGAGGAGAAGAGCACAATTAATTTCGATTTACTAAATTCAACAACTATAAAACTATATATATATATATATAATATATATATATAGTTATAGTTATAGTAATGTGGAATGAAGTGTTGGATTACGGAGCATACAAAGCGAGGGGTGTGAAGAGGGAGACTTTGGGTTTACTCCCTCCCTAAAAAAGACTTTTAAACCGGGACTTGACCATTTCGGAGTCGTTAGCCGTTCCTTCCTTTTGTCGCTCTCCTCTGTCTCCGTCCCGTCCGCTCCGACTTCCAATTTAATACTTCAAA